GGTGGCCCTCTGGGGGGAGCTCATACGCCATTGACAATTGCTAGCTGAACAGGGGTCCATACCTCCCCGGCGAGTACGGAGTCATTACCTCGGCCGTTTAGTCGGGAAACCGAATTCATCCGCCCAACACGTAAGTTAGACTCCGACTCACCGGGAATTAAGCTCCCGGTTGCCCTCAAGCTGGTTTGGCCCGCCTGTCAAGCGGTTTATCGGGGTGTGGCCGATGTTGCATCTAAACAGCTTCTGGGAACCACAGGTGAGATCTGAGCACCCAGTGGAGACCAAAGGGGCCGACAGCCCTCCGAGTCAGAGTTTCTACTCCTATCGGGTATCCCATACCCCCCATATGAACATGCGATTGCAACTCAAACGTAAAACACAATCCAGGTGACATAAGAACCGTTAGGCTCCCTGGATGGCGACCCCCCAGTTCAGGGTAACCGGTTCAGTTCAGTGGTTAGAGACACTGAGTGGTTTGGCGGTGCTGCATACAGTGGCGCTCGTGTGTCTAAATAAACTCAATCTATATGAATTTTCTATCTTCCTCTTGAATGTTCTCTCAACATTTGAATCTTCATTCTACTCTTTTATGCAAATGGGCGTCCAAAAGACAGCAAGCAAAATCAGTGCACGAAAGTGCATGGTTAATGGTTATATAGTTATATCTAGAACACCGGCTTGGGGACAAGCATATTACCAACGTCACAAAAATAATAACCGTAACAATCATAGATGGAAGATCCACCAAATTTCACTCAGTCCTGTTGCTTTAGCGTCTCTGACCACCATGGTATAGATGACTTGATGATTTATCTTAACATATGGACTTGGGGCTATCCGATTTTTGCCCGGTTGCGGCTGAAGTTTCCCTCCACAATCAAAATGTTGTGTATTTTTTAAATGCGAACAAAAGGTAAATGGCCTCTTGGGGTATATGAGGTAAATTGATAGTTTAAAGGTATTGGGAAGTGCTTACGTGGAGAACGAAGTACTCCTAGATCTCCTCTTTTCATATGTNTGCTCCCGAGTGCATTCCTAGGTTGTCTATAGGAGAGCAGCCATCATCTCGCGGCCAACTGCGAACAAAGTGAGCTTAGGTCCCTCGAATAAGTGGTCATGGACAATCAGCGGTAGAGCTGAAGGATATGGTGGGTTTACCTCTTGGTAGGGGCTCTCCGCACAAAACACCACAAATATCTGTGAACAGCGCTGTGACGTGGTGAGTTTGGTTCGCCACTGATTGCGGCCATTTCGTCTTTTCGTGGTCCATTGTGTGACAAGGTTTTCCAGAACGGGCGAACGAACCAAAAACTGGCCAACGATTCATCTGGAACATCATTGCTTCCTTAGAGTCCATGTTTGTTTGCAAAAAGGTTACATTGCACCCTCGAAAAAGGCCTACTCTGGACCGGGCAACCAAGTAGTAAAATAACCCTTAACGCACACAACTATGAAGGTTCTTGCTTTTATAAATGTATATCTCGTTCTAGTTTCAAATGCCGTTAGGTGAAACAAGATATTCGTTGACCATTCGTTAACTAGTCATTTGCAGTAACCACGTATTGGAAGGTAGTTTAAATCTACTCAGATGGACAGACACTAACGCGCTATGTTAAAATGGGCCCCACTGTACACTAACCTTTGCAGTGTCTGGTGCCATTATGTCATTGTCGTATTCAAGTCAAATGATCGCTCGGTAAATAGTCGTAGTATGAGTTGTACAGACATGACGTCCTGGGTTGCACAGTTGCGCTCAGAGTGATGTATCTTACGAGTTTTGATCATATATGTGGGGAAGGGGTATGGTAACCGATTTTGAACGTGCAATTCGGATTTTGTAGATAAACAAGTAAATAAATAGACAGTGAGTGTTTGGATCAGCCCATCGGGTTTTTCACAGGTACCAGGTACTTTTGACGACCTTGGGTCCCAAAACAGAATGAAACAGCTGTCCAGTGTTCTTTGTCGTTTATCATAAACATTCCCACCGCGCTTAATCAAGTGAATAGCTCACAAAGTTTTCATTATCCCAGTATTTTATGTACTGGCTTCTAAATTGGTTATCGACAGAACATTCCCATCATTTTTCCCTGTTTCTTGCGCACTACAATGCAAATGCTATCTAGTAATGATGAAGAAAATGGTGCCGAAAAGTAAAAGCAATTCTGGCTAGATGTAATTGACGTGAAGTTAGCCTGTTACGTCCTACCGCGTTTTGTCTATCATCATCTAGTTGTTCCATTGGAGCTCTCCAATATCGTTCTTATTTAGCTTCTTCAGAAACACAAAATTCATGGTTTCTGGTTTCTCGTGATGTTCTATGAGGATAGAAGCACAGTGTGATTTTAAGTACAACATGGGAAAAATTATGTAATAGTTTTATTCCTATGATTTGGAAGACACGTATCCTTGACGTAGGAAGTACGTTACTGACGTAGTTCAAAGGTCATGCCACAAACCTGTGACCTGGTACTTGTTGTTTGTGGTGTGGACAGAGTTCTGATTGGTTGATTCACACACACAAAAACATGCTAGAACTGAATTGGTTTGCATATCTGTAATGGAAAACTTTTCAGACGTCAGAGCGAGAGAACAGAGAAACATTAAATTGAGCCTCTGATAATGTGATTGTGATGAAGTGGGTATTATTTCATCAGTGCTAAAGATACTCTTGCCTTGTCGGATCAGTCTAACTTCAAACTACCCTAGTCCCACTGCTTTTTTGGTAATCTTCTGTGATAGCTGTTCGGTATGAAGGCTATACTACATCTTTTCAAACCATAGATTAGTAAAATCAAATCCTACGCATGGCTATTGAATAAATACGTATGTGAGCTTTTGAGTTCACGCTTCATTTGCTATATACACGACGAATTCCCATGTGAAATTTAACCAAATCCTCCATTACTCACATGAAGTAATCAGTCAGGTTGTGAATGTTTCCAACCGAGTCATAAGCCCGAAGGCTAGTGCTGAGTTGAGCAGGGTCCGTGGCCCGCAAGAAACTTTCAAAGATGAGTTGTTGTGTATCGTGTAAATGGAAAATGAAAAACGGTGTCATCAGCTGCTCGGTGGCGCAGTGGGTAGCACGCTTGCATTCCGCCCATGAAGTCCATGGTTCCATCCCCAGTCGGGTCGGTGGATTCGCACTGCTGATGAGACCCAACCAGGTCGAAACAGCTGTTCAGTGCTTCCGAGCTTTTCAGTTCACGCTTCATTTGCTATGTACACAACGAATTCCCATTTGAAATTTAACCAAATCCTCCATTACTCACATGAAATACGTATGTATTTGTATTACTGAGGTCAAAGTGATGTGCTTCTCATTAAATCCCGTCGGAGAAGCTTTCCCAAGACATCGTTTCCTTTAGATGAAACCTGGAGCAATATCGTCTTTCCTTACATGTACGAGGTAACAGGAGGAATTGTCCGATGGATTTTTATGTTAACCATTGGTTACTTTGTTGTTGATCGCTTGCCGCCTGGGATTGGTGAACTGTGGGTTTAAAAGGTATAGTTCTGTCTCTGAGCGTAACGGGCTCAGCAGCTCAGCGCAAATAACTTGTACACATAAACCAAGCCAGTGAATTTTAACTGTTCTCGAAATGCACTGCATGTAACTGAAGACGAAAAACAGACCTCTGTAGCTACTTACTAAACTTGGAAAGAAAAATCTACAACATTTATCGATCAATAATAAAAGAGTCCCCAAACAGATGCTACCAAAAATAAAGATTATAGGAGTTCAGCCAATCTGTACGATAAAGACTTCAGGGTTGATGATGTAAGTGAAGTTGAAAAGTACCAGGTTTTGTTCAGGTAGTAATGCAATGCGCCACGTTTTGTTGGTGTGAACGACTTTTATATCTCAAACATTATTTGACATAACACAAAGGGGCAAGCCAACGATATCGATATCGCTATGTATTCGCATCGGGAAGTGGATCGTTTTGGTGTTCTGTACGACATGTGGATCAATGAGACTGCATTTCAAGAAGCAAAAAAGCGAGTAAGTGAAACATTTTTAATATGCGAATCAATCACTGGGACGAAATTTCAATGTTTGTTTATTGTTTTATTTTTCATATCTTTTTTCCGCTTGCTTCCTTCGTATTCAAGTGGGCATTGAACAGACTTAGCACATCGTAAGTTTCACCCTGTGGCCTGATTGAGGATGTAACAACGTGCGGTTTGAGGTTGTCGTCGTCATAGTACAAAATGATGCTACATGACTTTGTTTGCCCATCGCCCAAGGTCACTCTGACTGAGCTCGCGATGGAAAAAACAAATGAATTCTGCTGCTTGAGCAGCAGCATTTCAGCAATAATGCGAACAGGCACGAATATCGAATCGCGAATCACAATCGCAGGTAAAACACTAGATAGCAATGGCAATTGTGTGTCGAAATCTCCAGTCACCGGCATGCAGGAAGTAAGCTACAAAAGTAGCGGTTCGTTTGGTGAAAGAAATAAATGGAATTAATTAGCAAATAAATAAAATATCTTTGGTTTAAGGGATATCAACCAACCGTTGTTCTTAATATCCGAGTTACTCAACTTCTGTTTGAACAATAGGGCCTTCGGTTGATCGATACTATATACCCGTGGTTCGTTGTCCGTTAACCGTAAACAGCTTAGCCCCTTGGCTGATGTTTATTATCTTGGAGGGTTGAAACATCACATTATCATATGAATTATCAGTGGATAAACAGTGGGCTCAATTATCACCTGTCAGTCTGAGGTATCTTAATTGCTACTGCATTAAACGGCTATGTATGAAATATCTAGTGTATGCTGCGGCAGTTCAGTCGATGCTGCTAGCCATGGTATATATAGCTTTTAAAAAGAAGATATCTCGCAAAAACATTCCTTTCCTAGTGATTGTGGTAAGCTAAACGTCTTTCATAAAATGATCAGGTGAGTTTGTACATGACAAAGTAAAGCCGTCCACATCAACCATATTTATAAACAAAATATAGAAAACAAATAAGGATGTATTGAGGCTTCGTTGCGCTGGAAGGTATGAAACCCGAGCTTTACGACTTTTGCATAATTGGTGTTGTCCTCATTGAACAGAGCCGCGAATGTTGCACAATATGATCACGTGAAAAATGGAACCCTGTCTGTGTGTCTATCGTATATACCGGGGGGGGGGAGGTT